GTCTCTTGATTCAACGACTGTATTCGCATGTATTTCAGAATTATCTGATTTATACACCAAGAATCGGTAAGCACTCGAATTGTGTGCATAACCAACAAACACACAATCTATTGTCTTTGGTCCTAACCTAGTTCGTTTAGGAATAGGGATAGGAACCTTAGCCAGACAACCCCATACTCTCAAGTATTTGTAGCTAGGTGATTTACCTTTCCACAACTCATAGGGTGTTTTGTCGAGCCTTTTGTGGGTCACTCTGTTTAATACAAAATTAGCAGAAATCACTGCTTCCCCCCATAAGTTATGAGGAGATCCAGAACTTATTAACATAGCATTCATCATCTCTTTCAGCGTTCTATTCTTGCGTTCAGCAATGCCATTCTGTTCTGGCGTATATGGGGCTGTAGTTTGATGGATGATGCCATGATCTGCGCACAATTGCGCAAAAGGTGACTCATATTCACCTCCTCTATCGCTTCTCAAAGCTTTGATTTTCTTTCCAAGTTGATTTTCAACTTCGTTTTTATAGAGATTAAACATCTCTATTGCCTCATCTTTACTTCTCATTAAGTAGAGATAACAATATCGAGTACAATCATCAATAAATGTAATGAAGTACTTCTCCTCTGGTTTGCACGTATTTCAAATCGCATACATCTGTGTGTATTAATTCCAAAGGTTCAGTACTTCGTTCAATATTTTTAAACGAAGACTTAGCAAATTTTGCTTCAACGCAGACTTCACACTTGTGGTCTTTGTCTAATTTAAATTTTGGCAGTAGATTACAAGACATTAATCTTTGCATAGACTTAAGATTCACATGTCCTAATCTACCATGCCATAATCTTGACTCAATCAAGTAAGCAGAAGAAGTAGAAGCTTTATTAATATCATTTGCGGTTATATTGTTTGCCGCATTGGTGTTACAAATGGTCATTACATTCATCTTGAACATACCATTTGCTAGATAACTTCTACCCAGATACACACCATCTTTTGACACTACAACTCTCTCAGATTCAAACACTAGCTTAAAGCCTTTCTTTGACATCACAGATCCAGAGAGCAGGTTCTTGCGAATGTCTGGCACATGAAGAACCTCAGTGAGCGTCAGCTTCTTTCCAGATGTCATCTTCAAATTGACTGAACCCTTGCCTTCCACTTTGGATGCAGCAGAGTTTCCCATATAGCAGCTTTCTCCGGTGACAGTGTCATAGGTGGTGAACATCCATTTGTTAGCACAAATGTGGTGGGTTGCTCCAGTGTCAATCCACCATTCTCTCGGATTATCTCCGACCATGTTCACTTCTGACACAACTGCTACGAATTCAGACTCCCCATCTTCTACTTCAGCTACATGAGCTTGGGTTTTATTCCCAATTTTCTTCTGGGCACCTTCCTTGCGATGGTAGCAGTCCTTCGACAGATGTCCAGTCTTGCCACAGACGTAGCAATTCCCCTTGAATTTCTTGGAGTTGACATTCTTATCAATCTTCCGCTTCTTAATCCCTTTGGCCTTAGTCGTCTCAACGACATTTGCCTTGGATCCAAACTGCCCATTCATTTTAAGAATAGGTTGAGATTCCTGCCGAATTCTCACACGACGATGTAAATCCTTCAAAGACATGTCCTTAGGTTTTTGTCTCAGGTCATTCTTGAAACTCGTCCAGGAGGGAGGCAATTTTTCAATCAGAGTTGCCACCTGGAACCGTTCATTTACCATGATGTCTTCTCCCGCCAAGTTGTGGAAGATGATTTGTAATTCATCTACTTGTTCCACAACACTCCTTGTATCTACCATACGGTAGTTTAGGAGCTTGGCTACCACCATTCGTCCTTGGCTAGCCTCTTCGACCCGATATTTATGATCAATCGCTTCCCATAGTTGCTTTGCCGTAACATATTTGGAGAAAACACCATAAAGCGAATCATCCAAACCGTTCAGCACAAAGTTCCAACACATGAAACTGTTATGTTTCCATTGTTGGTAACTAGCTAGAGATTGGGCATTGCCCTCCTGTGGGATTGGTTCCTCTTCAGTGAGGTACCGAGACAACTTAAGATTGCCAGCGTTTGAAATTTTGACTCTTAAATTGTTCAGGTCTCTCAGCCGGGCCGATAGGCACAATAGGAATTGCCTGGTTTTCGGAGTTCGCAACAACCGAAGGCATTTCTGGTAGGACAACGTTCGCAACGTTTGGCACTTGATTATTCATATCTGTGCCAGCAACATCATGATTAACGGGGTTCGTAACCTCCGCTATATGAGGATTCTCATCGATATCCATAGCAGGAATCTCATTCCCTGGAGCAGTATTTGAATCCATGGGATTTCTTGGATTATCAACGATCTGTTGAATAAATCCAATCATTGTTAGCTTTCACAAAGCTTATAAACTAAACCGAGTTTCACTTAACTTATAAATTGGTTTTGCTCGCTTCCAGTGATAGCCGGAGGGTTCACCCCGATTCCCACGTCCTTACTATGAGGAGGGTATAAAGGGCTTCCTCTTCAAACCCGGCCCGCTAAGACAAAGCTTGCTTCCCCAATTTACAGGAAAAGTTACTTCCGATTTTGTTTAACTTTTTTCTTTTCTTCCAAAAAAGATAAATAAATAATAATATTGGTTTTTTTTTTCTACAAAACATTTTTAAATATATTGGGCTCTCTCTTATGAGCTTTTAGATTAATCTCTTCAAATTGGGCCAAGACTAAACTTTTTTAATTTGGGCTTACTCTTTTGGGCTTTTCAATTAATCTCTTTGAATTTGGGCTTCAATTTTAAATTTGGGCCTTAAACTCAATTTGGGCTTCACAAAACAACTATTTGGTTTTTTTTTTTCAACACTTTTTTTTTAACCTAGTTGGTTTTAGATCCAAATTCGTGTCGATTTTATACCGAAATTAAAAGGAGATTTAGACACTTACCCGAGAAGTTTGCCTCGTGTTAACCATAATCGAAGCTTTAGAGGTGGCACGGAAATCGAACTTAAGAAAACTGTGTTTCACAGGCCTCGACAAAATAATTTTTTAATTTCAGGTACTTATCTGGAATCGCTCGAATTGCCGGAGTTTTGCCGTCGTCAACAACCGCCGTCCCCAACACATCGATCTAGGGATGTTACTCCGGGATTGAGTTTCTGGATATGTGCGATGAAGAAGATCTGTTGCGCTGGAGTTTCGGCATTCTTCGGTTGTTGTCGTGTCAAGCACAGGTCCATGTTCTTCAAGTGTCGATGTGTCAGGCCCAAGCCCATATCCATTAATAGAATATAGCCTTAAGTATCTATACCGACCAATGTAGAATATCACATATGTTCTATCAAGTATAATTATGTAGATAAAATGTACCCCTCGAGTTAAAGACAAAATGTAATCGTATGGGTATATGATGCACTTGATCCATAACTTGAAAGCGCTATAAACATTTAATGATAATGTTGTGCATACAATATATTATATGAAACATTGTATACCATAAAATGTTAACTCAAGTTTATGCACTCTAAATTGTGGTTTAAACATTAACTCTAAACATTTTGGACGCACTTTCAAACGTGTTTAAAATGTGAGCGTTTACCCTTTTTGGTACTATACATAAATATTAAAACATGTTAAAACCAAACATATGATTATAAAATGATTGCTATACATTTTAATTATATATAGGGATTATTTGGACATACATTTATCTATGTTTGTATAGGGTAGCATACATTATATCGTGGTTTATTGTATCATGACTGATTAAGTTATCATAATTTTTACCCACTCAAAACATCATTACCTATTAAATTTATCAATTTACCCACTAACATGTTTATAAAACATAAAATATATCCAAAAACATATTAGGATACATATATACGATTACATAAACATATATAATACTGCTTGAACATTTTAATACCTCGTTTACAATTTCTATAACATGTATATCTATAATAGTTTATAGATATATCCTAAAATATGGTATAATGCATCTAATCTATGTTATGGGTATGTATAAAGTGCATAACATTTTATCATAATACTGTTAAATCGATAAACTCTATAAACCCCTTTCTACAACCTATTTGTTATCTAAATCGTGCTATAACACGATTTAGATGTCTATATAACAATATACATATATACATAATTATGTATCCATATTCAATAAGGAGCGCATCCAAACTTAAGGTTACCCATCTAATGATTATATAAACTCTATGTCTTGGATAAACATGTACCTTGTCTGTGTCCGTGAACCGTTTGGAACATAATACATCAATGTAGCATAATACAAAACACGGTCCTCTATGGTATATCGGGGTAGTAAATGCATTTGTGTAACCAGCCGTTTAAACATATGTGTATATCCAATAATCTCTATGTACAAAAATTTGTATACATGAACATATACTGCGCTATTTGTTAGGTGATATTTTACTAAATATCGGGGTAGAGATATCACTCTATAACATAATCTGTACCATACGTCATGGTTACGATGATATTATAATGTAGTTATTATCGGTTTATACGTTATACCCCTAAAGATTAATAGGTGTGGAATACAGCCTCATGCTGTTCATATATGTCTGTTATACATCTATAACTGATGTTTGTGTAAATAAATAGTTATATATGGGTTTTGAGTGATATGGGTATATAAGATATTACATGTAAATACATCCAACAAGTTTATGTTTTCATGCACTCTAAACATGTTTAGTGCACATACCAGAACATACATATTAAATATTATGTTTATGGATTGCGTTTGTGTTATATTTATGATCTATTACGGGATAAATCACAAAATATTCACTACCACATAGTTTATATAACATGTTTGGATGTCTATATAACAAGGTCACGTGATATAGTTAATCAAGGTCATGTTTATTAGAACCGTTGGCCCAGTTTGAGAGTGAGAAAGTAAGAGAGACAGGCGATTATTGGCAAAACCTAGCTCCATCCCGTGACGGCGGGGCCGACCGCCGTTGCATGGGAGCCAATGGCGAAGAAAAAGAAAGGTAGTGCTTCTCCAGCATCTAAGAGGGCTGGGTCTTCAGATACTCAAGGTAAATCGCACCAATCTCCTGCGGCTTCCCCTGTTTCAAAATCAGATCCACCTCCTTCCTCTCCCTTGGTTGAATCAGGGGTCCCGGAACCCACATCTCTCCCAGTTCAGCGAGATTCGTCATTACTCAGCCAACCTGTCACAAACTCAGAGGCACCGCCACCTGCTGCTCCAATCTCGGCTCTAGCGGACAAGGCTGTCCACACCCAAGGTTTTTCGGCCGAGGACTTCCCTCCTCTACCTCGGGCTCCCTCTCGGGCCACGGGATCTACTACTCCATCGCCAGTTCCAGCTTCTCAGGCACCACCTCAGACTTATCCCTGGGCACAACGACTGAAAGCTTCCTCTCGGAACCTCAGCAGACTCGCAACCCCACAGATCTCGGAGAAAGGCACTCCAAGGATTCGAGTCCCTAGCTCTGTTCTGCTAGAAGCCTCACGCAACTGGACCGGTTACCTCGTCGGAAATTTTTTAGGAATAGCGCCTTCAGGATCGAAACTATTGCAAATATTAAACCCAATCTGGGGAAGACGTTCAAAAATTCATGTCCGTAGGATTAACAACTCCTCGTGCCTGTTCCACATCCCCGGCCTAGCCACAAAAGAATGGGTCTTGGAGGTGGGTCTTTGGAGGGCGATGGATGTAATGTTCTCAGTCGTGGAATGGTCAGCGATAGCCACATTCCGGACCATTACCCTGACGTCCGCTCCGATATGGGTGAACCTAACGAATATTCCAGCAGAACTATATTCATTGAAAGGAATCAGTTACATAGCTTCGGGCATCGGCGAGCCTCTCCACACGGACAAGATGCGATTAGATCCGTTGAGTGTTGGTGAGGCAAAGGTCAAAGTGGAAGTTCAGTTGGATGCTACTCTGCCTCAAGCTATAGAAATTGAGGATGAACAAGGCTCTGTAATCACGGTTAATGCCGCTTATCCTTGGATCCTCCCAAAATGCATCAACTGCGGGGAATTTGGTCACAAGCTCCAAAGCTGCCCGGTTCGTCAATCCCAGCCCCTGCAACGTGTGGTCGAAACAGGGACTTCCATTGAGACTCCAAAGACGGTAGACAGTCAGCTCACAATCAAAGATGTGGCATCTGCTTCTACATCGACTCTACCCACGTCTGTATCTTTGGCCCCCAACACGACTAACGCATGCGATCCTCAAATAGCGGACATGAATGCTAAGGATTCAACAACCTGATATACAACCTACAGGTCCCCATTCCCCTTTACAGCAAACAATCCAACCGACTATACTACCAGTAAGGACAGAAACTAAACTTGTGGCTCAGTCAAAGAAGACATCTAAGAATTCTCAGCGTAAGTTTCATTTCGACTCGGAAGACCAGTTCATTCTTGAAGCACAGCGAGTACTGCGATCTAGAGCTATTTCAGCCTCCCGAGATCCCTCTGACTTCACGGTGGTCGGCAAATCTCGGAAGGGGAATGGCCCTCTGTAGTGATTACACAGCTACCAGGAGATTTTTTTTTGATTTTTTGGGTTTTGGTATCTTTTTGGAAGAATCAGATGAAAGTCTTTTGTTGGAATACACGCGGCCTCAATGGTGTACGAAAGCAGCGAGCAGTCAAGGATCTGATCTCATCCCACAAGCCATTACTTGGAGGGTTAATTGAAACACGTGTTCGTGGTGAATCTCAGGCTTTGTGGATTATGGAAAATCTGGCCCCGAATTGGAAGTTAATACATAACTATGTCAGCTCCGAACTTGGCAGAATCTGGGTAATTTTTGACAGCTTACTTGTAGTGACTCCATACTCCTATTCCGACCAGATGATAACTTGCGGTGTATTCAATCCCCAATCACAAACCTCCTATACGATATCGATTATCTATGCCCGAAATACTGCAGCGGAACGTCGAGGTCTGTGGACCGAAATCTGTAATTTGGCAATTCATCATGTACTCTCATTTAGCCCTTGGCTGGTTCTTGGCGACTTTAATCAAGTTCTTCGACCAGTTGAGCATGCTTCGCCAACCTTACCCTTCATACAACACGCAGGAATGTCAGAATTCCAAGAATGCCTTCTTAATGCCGGTCTTTTTTATCTCTCAGCCTCTGGACTCTATTACACTTGGTCGAACTTCTGTTTGGAAAATCCGATAACTCGGAAGCTAGACAGAGCTCTTATCAATGATTACTGGTTAATGGACTTCCCGAATTCGCATGCGATATTTGATCCACCCGCTCCTTCGGATCACTCGCCTTGTATTGTTTACATTGATAATCTGAACCACAGGAGGAGGCGAAAAAATTTCAAATTCTTTATGCACTTGACTAAGCATCGGGACTTCAACCGGAAGGTTTTTGAAGCTTGGAACAACACCAGGATCCAAGGTTCACAAATGTTCCGGTTGACACATAAACTAAAGACTCTTAAGTGTTAGCTAAGGGAGTTGAATCATACAGGTTTCAGTAATATTCAGGCGCGAACTGAGCAAGCCTTAGAAGCCTTGAAGGTTGCTCAACAGGACCTTCTCCATCGTCCATCACTTGAGTTAGCACAGTTAGAATTTTAGCTACGCTCCAAATGGGTTTTTCTTTCGGAGGCCGAAGAAGCGTTCTTCAAACAGAAGTCTCGCATTCGTTGGCTATCAGAGGGGGATCAGAATACTAAGTTCTTTCACCGAATCGCAACTTCTCGTCAGTCCACAAACGCCATCAGATCGCTTGTGAATGATACAGGAGTTCGGATTTTTGATGAGCTTGAACTTAAGCGTATGATCGTAGGCTACTACAGGCAGATTCTGGGAACTACGGATGAAAACCTTTTATGTTGGTCCACTCAACAACTGAAGGATTTACTACCGAACAGATGCAATACCTTTTTGATGTCGTCCCTTGCGCGTATTCCTGATGAAGCAGAGATTACGAATGTTATCTTCTCGCTCCCAAAAGGTAAAGCCCCTGGCCCAGATGGATACCCTGCAGAGTTTTTTACGGAATGTTGGGACATTGTGAGCCAAGATTTGATTTCTGCTGTGCTGGAATTTTTTCGGTCGGGTTCTCTACTAAAGCAGTGCAATACTACACAAATAACCCTGATTCCAAAGGTTAAAAACGCTGATAGATTGCAGGATTTTAGACCTATATCCTGTTGTAATACAGTTTATAAAGTTATAGCGAAGGTGCTTGCAAACAGATTGAAGAAGGCATTACCGGACATCATAGCTCCAAACCAATCAGCTTTCATTCCCGGCAGATCTCTGATTGAAAATGTGTTGCTAGCGACTGAATTAACAGCGGGTTTCAAAGCAAGAGGCTCTCCATCGAAGGCACTTCTCAAGGTCGACCTTAGCAAAGCGTTCAACAAGGTAAATTGGTTGTTATTGATCAGGATTTTGGAGGCTTTAGATTTTCCCCCGCGATTCATGCTATGGATTGAGGAATGCATATCTTCACCGACGTACTCTGTGGCATTCAATGGAGAGCTAATTGGTTTCTTTAAAGGAAAAAGGGGGTTACGACAGGGGGATCCGCTCTCACCTTATCTCTTTACCTTGGTGATGGAGGTTCTCTCAAGGTTGTTGGATTCAGAGGTATATAATGGTCGCATCGTTTTGCCTAGTCACTGCCAAAATCCCAACATCCCACACCTTATGTTTTCCGATGACATTCTAGTTTTTTCTTAAGCATCAACACAGTCTCTAATTCATGTTCTGGACACATTTCGACAGTTCTACATGACATCGGGCCTAGAACTGAACAGGGCAAAAACTGCTATCTATACCGATGGGGACAGGGAGGATGTTACCTCATCTCTAGCATCTTCACTTGGCATATTTCATTCACGACTGCCAGTGAAATATCTCGTGTGTAATAAAATAAAATGTTTTTAAATTCCTGCTATTTTATTATATGGTTGAGCGTCCATGTGGCACAACTCGTGAGCGGGAGACGGGTTACGGGT